GGAAGTAACAACATAATAAAATACATATCTATCTATCCATCCATTCATCTATGTAATAAAAATGAACATATGTATGTATTTTTGTATGTATGTTGGCAAGTATGTTTGTGGTACATTTCCTATGTGCTCCCACTTCCAGAGACCACTGTGACCCTCACTGATGACTGATCAGGACCAAGTTTGATACACAGCCCCCCCCCCCACATGAGCAATAGAATAAACTAGTGGGGTTTGAGGGTGATTGACCATGGATTCTGGGAGTTGTAGTTCACCCGCATCCAGACAGCACTATGAACTCAAACGACGATGGATCTGAACTAAACTTGGCACTCATGCCCATTATGGCCAACTTTGAATACTGTTGGTGTTTGGAGGAACTGCCCTTGAATTTGGGAAGTTATAGTTCACTCCCATTCCAAAGAGTGCTGTGAACCCAAACAATGATGGAACTGGACCAAACTTGGCACTCGTACCCATCATGATAAAGTTTGAATACTTTTGGGGTTTAGGGAAACTGCCCTTGAATTTAGGGAGTTGTAGTTCAGTCCTATTCCAAAGAGTGCTGTGAATCCAAACAGCAATAGATCTGGAACAAACCTGGCACTCAATACCCATCATGGAAACTTTGAATATTGTTGGGGTTTTGGGAAACTGCCCTTGAATTTGGGGAGTTATAGTTCACTCCCATTCCAACGAGTGTTGTGAATCCAAACGATGATGGATTTGGACCAAACTTGGCATTTGTACCCATTATGACCAACTTTGAATACTGTTTGAATACTGTTGGGATTTGGGGAACTGCCCTTGAATTTGAGGAGTTCACTCCCATTCCAAAGAATGCTGTGAATCCAAACAATGACGGATCTGGACCAAACCTGGCACTCATATCCACCAATACATACCTAAACAACTAATGCATAATTTAAAATCAGTGATTTAAGATTCATAATTTGAAATCATGTGATTAGACCTTTCGGAAGAGACTGCTCTTTAGTGCTATTTTGCATATTCAGTAGCTGCGAAACCTCTTCCAGCAATTCATTCCACAATCTAGGAGCATCTGAAGAAAAAGTCCCTTGGGTGACTGACCATTGCCATCCTCATCCAGGCCGAAGGGAGGAAATGGCCTCCAGAGGACTGGGATGTGTATGGGGCGGGTTATATGAGAGGAGGAGGAGGCAATGCCATAGGCAACCTGCATCCAAAGCATGTAAGGCTTCAGAAGTAATAACAATTCACACTTTGCCTGGGAACTAATTGGCAGCCAGTGGAGTGATACTCATAAAGGCTACTATGATCTCTCCTTGATTTGCCACTGGCTAATTTGGCTGCCATGTTTTGCACTCATTTGAGTTTCCAAATCTGGAACAGAGGTAGCCCAATGTAGAGTACCCTCCAGGTTACCAGTGGGTTCCCCGTGCCATAGTTTAGGGCAGAGCCTTCCGGCCATTTCATATTGGTGAGACACTTTTTAGACATGCATCATTTTGCGACACAGTAGATTTTTATGAGATACGTTGTGTCCTCATACAATTGATTATTTCAATTTATTTATGAGTCTGTATTTCTTATAATGGGTTGGTTTAAATTCTAGTTTGCTACTAAAACTTAATTACTGTGTCTACACATTTTGGAATTGAGGGTGAATTGCAATTCCAAAAATTGTGGGCCAATCACCCCAAACTCCACCAGTATTCAAAGTTGGCCATGTTGGGTCTTTGTGCCAAGTTTGGTCCAGATCCGACATTGGCTGGGTTCAGGGCTCTCTGTATAAGGTTGAACTATAACTCCCATATGCCAAGGACAACCACACCCAAACTATGCCTGTATGCTCAGTTGGCCATGTTGAGTCTGTGTGCCAAGTGTGGTTGAAACTTGACATTGACTGGATTCAGGCCTCTCTGGATAAGGGTGAACTACAACTCCCATATGCCAAGGACAATCACCCCCAAACCGGGCTTGTATGCAGAGTTGGCAATGTTGGGTCTGTGTGCCAAGTTTGGTCGAGCTCGATTGGTTCTCTGGATAAGGGTGAACTACAACTCCCAAAATCAAGGTCACTTCCCACAAACCCCTGCAGTATGTTCAGGTAGGCATGGGGCTTCTCTGTGCCAAGTTTGGTCCCAGTCCATTGTGGAGCTGTATTCTTGATCTGCATCTTCTCCCGCAGTGAGGGCATTGGTTTCCAGGTGGAAGGCGGTCCTGGTCAGGGTTGGCTTGATGCACCTTCCTCTTGGCACATTTCTCTCTTTCGCCCTCCATTCGTGCCTCTTCAAATTCTACAGCACTGCTGGTCACAGCTGACCTCCAGCTGGAGCGCTCAAGGGCCAGGGCTTCCCAGTTCTCAGTGTCTATGCCAGAGTTTTTAAGGTTGGCTTTAGCCCATCTTTAAATCTCTTTTCCTGTCCTTCAACATTTCCATTCTTGTGTTCAGAGTAGAACAACTGCTTTAGGAAACGGTGGTCGGACATCCGGACAACGTGACCGGTCCAGCAGAGTTGATGGTGGAGGACCATTGCTTCAATGTTGGTGGTCTTTTCTTCTTCTAGGATTTTTTGGAGGCAGCGCTGATGGAATCGTTCTAGGAGTTGCATGTGACGTCTCTAGATAGTTCACGTCTCACAGGCATATAGCAGGATTGGGAGGACAATAGCTTTATAAACAAGCACCTTGGTATCCCTACGGATGTCCCGGTCTGCAAACACTCTCTGCTTCATTTGGAAAAATGCTGCACTCGCAGAGCTCAGGCGGTGTTGTATTTCAGTGTCAATGTTGACTTTTGTGGAGAGGTGGCTGCCAAGGTAGCGGAAATGGTCAACATTTTCTAATGTTACACCATTAAGCTTTATTTCTGGCATTGGAGAGGGATTGGTTAGTAACTGCTCGAAGAGCACTTTTTTCCATGTTCATTGACAGGCCGATTTACAGTCTCATGCAGCTGATGTAACTCTTTCTGCAAACTGAAACTATGGTCCCGAATGTGTACATCTCTTATACTTAAAATCTAATTTTAAGGCACAGTGTAAAACTTTACTACTTGAAAGGAAAAACTTCTGCAGAGTGTGGTGGCAACTAGGCAATTATTTTGTCATTGAACTAAACTGGGCCATTATTTATGAGCTGCGTTCCAAGAAAAAAAAACACAACTGAGGTCACAATCATCCTGAGTTATCTAAGATCGCGGTTTAAGGACACACTGACATGCAAAGTGGTTTCATTTGTGGTACACTTCTTCCAGAAAGAGAGAAAAGGGCCTGGAACATTGGACAGAATTGATTTATGTAATAATAGACACCAGGATTGCTTATTTTAAAGGCACCTTCATTATTTCTGAAATGTAGACAATAGAATGTAGTGGATATATGCTTTAATGCTTTGGTGACACACTATTTTTTACCAAAGGGCAAGCCGAGAAAGAAATCAACCTTCTCTTGACATACTGGTTAATATTTTGCTCTCAGGTTGTTTGTTTTTTTCTGTTTTCTGATGCAAGTAGATAAGCAGGATTTGGAAACATTGCCCTTTTGGACTACAACTCCCAGAATGTCCTAGCTGACATAGCTACTCATCCTGTTGTCTGCAGGATTTGGGAAACGGTAGTACAAAACAGCAATCTTTACAATCCTTTGCTTGTAATTCGCTCCCACCGGCCACCATATGTAAGGAATCTATTCCTCAACCATAATATTATTTCCGTTGCTACTTCATAACAGTAATTTTGCTACTGTTATGAATCATAATGTAAATATCTGATATGCAGGATGGATCTTCAGTCACTGGACCAAATTCCACACAAATACCCAATATGCCCAAATTTGAATACTGGTGGGGTTGGGGGATTGGTTTTGTCATTTGGGAGTTGTAGTTGCTGGGATTTATAGTTCACTTACAATCAAATATTCTGAACTCCACCAATGATAGAATTCAACAAAACTTGGCACACAGAACTCCCATGACCAACAGAACATACTAGAAGGGTTTGGTGGGCATTGACCTTGAGTTTTGGAGTTGTAGTTCACCTACATCTAGAGAGTATGGTAGACTCAAACAATGATGGATCTGGACCAAACTTGGCACAAATACTCAATATGCCCAAATGTGAATGCTGCTGGAGTTTGGGGAAAATAGACCTTGATATTTGGGAGTTGTAGTTGCTGGGATTTATAGTTCACCTACAATCAAAGAGCATTCTGAACTCCACCAATGATGGAATTCAACAAACTTGGCACACAGAACTCCCATGACCAACAGAAAATACTGGAAGGGTTTGGTGGGCATTGACTTTGAGTTTTGGAGTTGTAGTTCACCTACATTTAGAGAGCACTGCGGACTCGAAACAATGATAGATCCAGACCAAACTTGGCACAAATACTCAATATGCCCAAATGTGAATGCTGCTGGAGCTTGGGGAAAATAGACCTTGATATTTGGGAGTTGTAGTTACTGAGACTTACAGTTCACCTAATTTCACCTAATTTCAAAACACATTCTGAACCCCACCAGTGATAGAATTGAGCCAAATTTTCCACACAGGACCCAGATGACCAACAGAAAATACTATGTTTTCATATGGTCATAGGTGACCCCTCTGACACCCCCTTGTAATCCCCCCAGGGGTCCCAACCCCCAGGTTGAGAAACGCTGACCTATATGTTCCTTTTGGGCTCCTTTTACAAATCAGTAAAGAAATCAGGTATGTCTAGCTTCAGTATTATGATCAAACCTGGGATTATTCAAATGAGTCAGGGTCATACACGGCCTTTAAACCAAGGTTTGTTTTTGGCTTATATGGAAAGCAAAGAATTCCCAGTTCTGGCTTTTGTGAGTGTGACTAATAGGTTGTTGACAAAACTAGAGATAGAAGCAGGGTCTGCAACAATGCATTGCAATGTGGAGTTGTTATGCTCATGCCTCCGACTGACTAGTTAGAACCTCTGGTTATTTACAACACAATTCTGGCTATCAGAATTTGAGGAAAGAAATGTGTTTCTGTATTGCAGGGATGCAACCCTCTTGCAGAGACCGGGCGCAGCAAATTGCAGAATCAAAGAGCGGTCCTGAACCAGCAGATCCTGAAAGCGGTGAGGATGAGAGCGGGCGCTGAGAACCTCCTACGGTATGTTCCCACCGTTTCCCGCCCTTCCCGTCCATCTGTCTGTCCATCCTCTGTCGCAAAATGTAGCCTTGGTTCTCTTTAACAGGAGCAGGTTCTGCCTCCCAGCCAGTTGCCCCTTTGTTCTCAGTGCCTTACTCAAAACATGGCAGGTGGAAATCTTGGATGTGTATATGTATATGTGTATATCTATATGTGTGTGCGTGCGTGTGTATCTGTATATGTGTATGTATGAGTATGTATGTATATATGTGTATATATGTATGACAACCTATGTACAATATGTGTATGTGGATATGGATAAGGATATGGATATATGTGTATATGTATGTATGTATGAATGTGTATGTGTATATGCATATGTAAACATGTCTGCAGTATGTGTATATGGATATATGTGTTTGTATATATCTCTGTGTATATATGTGTATGTGTATGTATGAATATGCATGTGTATATGTGTATGTAAATATATGTACAGTATGTGTATGTGGATATGGATAAGAATATGGATATATGTGTTTGTGCATATCTGTGTGTATATATGTGTATGTGTATGTATGAATATGCATGTGTATATGTGTATGTAAACATATGTACAGTATGTGGATATGGATAAGGATATGGATATATGTGTATGTGTATGTATGAATGTGTATGTGTATATGCGTATGTAAACATGTGTGCAGTATGTGTATATGGATATATGTATTTTTGTATATCTGTGTGTATATATGTGTATGCGTATGTATGAATATGCATGTGTATATTTGTATGTCAACATATGTACAGTATGCGGATATTGATAAGGATATGGATATATGTGTATGTATATATGTATGTGTATATGCATGTTTATACATATGTATGTGAATATATGTATTTATACATATTATTTGTATATGTCTATGTATATATCTTTATATATGTATGGATGAATGTATGTGTATATGTGGATGTAAACATGAGTACAGTATGTTTATATGGCTATGTGTATATGTATTTGTGTATATCTGTGTGCATATATGTGTATGTGTGTATGTATGACTGTGCATATATATGTGTGTGTATGTATACATATGTGTTTATACATAAGTGTGTGTATGTGTGCATTTATATTTTTTTTATTTATAGTATTTATATTCCACCCTTCTCACCCCGAAAGGGACTCAGGGTGGATCACAGAACATACATATGCGGCAAATATTATACATATGTATGTGCATATGTGTATATATGTACACATGTATATTTGCATGTATATGGGTATATTTGTATATGTGTATATGTGTATGTTTATATGTGTATTTATCTATGTGTATGTATTAGTATATGTATATCTGTATGTATGGACGTTTATAATTACTGGCGATATTTTTTACTGGTAATACTTATCATGCCAAATCTTTAGAAAGTTTATTGGTTTTAAATAGATTGAATTCATTTATATTGGCTACAAATTGGATACGGACCAGTGCTTGAAAAGGCATATTGCACCAACATAAGGATGGACAAACTTGGACCCTCCAGGTATTTTGGACTTCCAACTCCCACAATTCCTAACAGCCTACCGGCTGTTAGGAATTGTGAGAGTTGTAGTCCAAACACATGGAGGGAGGGCCCAAGTTTGCCTGAGTTACCGAGATCCCTCATTGAGAAGACTTGCTCTACAGCTTTGAAGAGGAAATGAAATACTTTCTTTTGCAACTGTCTCAAAATGATCTCAAATCATCTATTTCCTACATGAGTACATTCCGTCATTGTTCATTTTCCTCCAACAAAGAATTGCGTAATGCAGGGCCCCCGAGTCTTGCCTGGAAGCCATTCCACATTATTTACTTTGTGTGTGTTTTGGCAACAGACCAAGTCAATTCTGCAACAAGGATCTTGATATCTTAAAGCAGGTTGGGGAGAAGGGTGTCTTAGAAATGTAGAGAATGTCAATAAAGGCGCTTTCGGGCTCACTGTGTAATAAGCCGGCTGTTCTCAAAAACACTCTGAGAAGTGTGGGTTATGTAGAGAAGTTCCAAACACTCTTTGGAACACCCTCCCTATAGAGGTACGATCAGCCTCCTCGCTGATGGTGTTTCGGAAGAGATTGAAAACTTGGATGTTTAAACAAGCATTCGGTTAATCCGTTGCAACGAATTTTGATGACTAAAGGACTGGTAATCATGGACGATGAATTTTGGATTGTGATTTTAGTTACGAGATGCATGGGATTATTATTGGTGGCCCAATAATTTGTATTGTATATGTGTTTTATGTTTTAAATTGAATACTGTTTTTTAATTGTTGTAAACCGCAATGAGTCGCCGACTTAGGCTGAGATATTAGCGGTATACAAGCGTATAAATAAATAAATAAATAAGTGCGCATCCTTTCCTCTTGGCAGGGCGACAACCAACAACAAAGTGCGGGAACAGGTGCTTCTCGAGCTCAGTTACGTCAACTCCGACCTGCAGATTTTGAAGGAGGAGCTGGAAGGGCTCAACATCTCCGTCGAGGTCTATCAGAACACAGAGTAAGTGCAAAGAGAAGTTACTACTACATTGTTACACCACATGGGCTACGTAGAGCAAGGCTTCCCAAACTTTTCTTGTAGGCGACACACTTTGTGGAATTGTGTCCTTTCACGACACGGCCATTCTGTTTTACGAGCAAACCGAAGGTTAAACCAACCCCTTTTATACAATACATAATATATGTAGTAGTTTCATATTATCTTTACTGTTTGAAATTACCCCTTGACACTTCTTATGTCCTACAGTTGATTCTGTTTCCACAACAATTAAATTCCCTTATACTTCCTTCTTTGCTTCCATGCTGGGCTTCTTCCTTATGCAGATAAACAGCTTCGCTCTCACAGAGATTTCTCTCACAATGAACTTATACTGGAGCTTCTCACAGTAGCTTTTTACACAGCAGCAACTTATACTGGAGCTTTACACATGAGGCTTTACACACGAGGCCTTCAACCTTGGGCTTCTTTCACTGAAGCTTCTCACAGCAGGCCTTTTCACACTCAGCCTTCTCATAGACTAAGGCTTACCTCACCAACTGAGACCTTTCTCCCATTGAGGTTTACCTCAAACCGACCACTACTAAGCTACAGACACACTTGCTTATATAGAACTGCAGCTTTTGCGCATCTATTTAACACCTTCGATACTTGACTCACATTTTTGTAATCAAAAATACCTAGTTAATTTTTAATATTTCTGACAGATTCTTGCATCGTTCCCTCTAGAGCTGCTCCATGGGGTCCCTCACAAACATCATAGTTAAACAGAGGATATGATTGAGAGAGAAAGTGTAGACAGACAGACAGACAGATAGAGATAGAAAGGATTAAGAGAGAATGATATATGATTGGTGTATCATAGAATCTAGAGTTGGAAGGGAGCCCCAAGGACCATCCAGTGTAACCCCCTTCTTCCTGCCATAAAGGAAGACACCATCAAAGCCCTTTTGACAGATGGCCATCCAGCATTTCTTCCAGAGAAGAAGACTCAATCACACATCATCCAATGGGATGCTGGTGAGATTGTCCGAAATATTAAAATTAACTAGGTATTTTTAATTACAAAAATGCGAGTCAAGCACTGAAAGGGTTAAATGTATGCAGTGACTCAGCAAAATCTGCAGTTTTATATAAGTAGGTGTGGCTGTAGCTTAGTAGGCTTCTGTGAGAAGGCATCACAGTGTGAGGGAGGCCTTAGATTGTGAGAGAAGGCTGCACAGTGTGAGGTAGGCCTTGGTCTGTATGAGAACGCCTCAGTCTGTGAGGTAAGCCTCAGAATGAGAAGGCCTCGTGTAGTAGAAGGCCTCGTGCAGTTTTATATAAGCAGGTGTGGCTGTAGCTTAGTAGGTGTGTTAGTTTGCCCCAGAGGGCGGCCTTAGATTGTGAGAGAAGGCCTCAGTGTGAGATAGGCCTTAATCTATGAGAGAAGGCTGCACAGTGTGAGGTAGGCCTTGGTCTGTATGAGAACGCCTCAGTCTGTGAGGTAAGCCTCAGAATGAGAAGGCCTCGTGTGTGAAACTCCAGTGTGAAGGTTGAAGTTTATTTGTGTTAAGGAGACCTTATTGTATATAGTGCAACCATGTTATTTTACTACAAAGAAAAGCCTCCTAAGGAAGATATAACATTGGTCTGTGTGTTTTTGTTCTTTTTATCACTTTGGGCTATTGGTGCTGGGTCACAATGCCGTTAATAAGTTACTCTGCTATACATTAATGGGGAGGGTCTTTTGTTGATAAGCCCACTCACCCAACAGAGATGGCCATCTATCTGGAAGACTTTGTCTGTGTCTTTATGCCTGGCCAAAGGGTTGGACTGGATGCCCTTTGGGAGACTCTCCCAGTAGGGGGGAGCACTTTTAATGTGACACACCTCTGAACCGCAGGCAACACACATAATTTAGAAACTTCTAACTTAGAGGGCCAGCCTCGAAATAGTGCATGGAACGAAGTGCATAGTGGTTCTAGCTGTTGACTGAGGAAAAGTATTTAAAATAATGAATCCCGATGCTTTCTGAATAGGTGGCTTTAATGGGGAGTGGCCCAGTGACAAAAGGCCAATTTTCCTGCTCAAAGTCAATAATCTGCTCAAAGCCAACAATCAAATGGTGGATAATGTGTTGTTGAAGGGTTTCATGGCCCAGGAGGATAGATTTGCACTGCAAAGTTTCATTGCCAGGTCCCAGGCAAATGTAAACACCATTCCCCCCCCCCCCCCGAAGTAATTTGTCCCTTTCATTTCATCGATTCCCCCACCCGTGACCAAAATGGATTTGGCACCTCTCGTAAAGTTCAGGCCCATTGTTTCAGACGGAAATAATTGAGGTTCAAGTTGCAACAGACCTCAACCGGTGGCAGCTTATGGACTGGAGCTGTGATCCAAATGGAGGAGTTGGCTTGTAGCGGTTCTATGCAGAAGAGCTTCTTGCTGTCAGTGGAGAGGATATGCAGCTCAAAGCAAATCAGAACTGGGTTGTTGTAGGTTTTTTCGGGCTATATGGCCATGTTCTAGAGGCATTTTCTTCTGACGTTTCACCTGCATCTATGGCAAGCATCCTCAGAGGTAGTGAGGTCTGTTGGAACTAGGAAAATGGGTTTATATATCTGTGGAATGACCAGGGTGGGACAAAGGACTCTTGTCTGCTGGAGCTAGGTGAGAATGTTTCAACTGACCACCTTGATTAGCATTTGATGGCCTGGCAGTGCCTGGGGGAATCTTTTGTTGAGAGGTGATTAGATGTGCTGTTCCTGGGGTTATTTGGGGCACTAATTGCATAGGAAAGGCTGCATCAGCTCTTGTTTCTTAGATATGGTTATCATTATTCTTTATGGGCGAGCTGATGGTGACTGGTAGATGGCATATGTTCTGTATCTCAAAAACTACAGCTGGCATGTGGAAACTGGTGCTATTTTTGGAATCAGCAGGTCAAATATATATGTTGGAAACTATGATGGTTGAATGAAAAGTTATGCCTCCACCTTCATAACTCCTCAACAGATGGCAGTACTGGTATACGGATACCATAGGGATACCAAGGTGCTTGTCTATAAAGCTATTGTTCTCCCAACCCTGCTATATGCCCGCAAAACGTGAACTGTCTACAGACGTCACATGCAACTCCTGGAACGATTCCATCAGCGCTGCCTCCGGAAAATCCTGCAAATCTCTTGGGAAGACAAGCGGACAAATGTCAGCATGCTGGAAGAAGCAAAGACCACCAGCATTGAAGCGATGGTCCTCTGCCATCAACTCCGCTGGGCCGGCCACGTTGTCCGGATGCCTGACCACCGTCTCCCAAAGCAGTTGCTCTACTCTGAACTTAAGAACGGAAAACGGAATGTTGGTGGACAGGAAAAGAGATTTAAAGATGGCCTCAAAGCCAACCTTAAAAACTCTGGCATAGACACTGAGAACTGGGAAGCCCTGGCCCTTGAGCGCTCCAGCTGGAGGTCAGCTGCGACCAGCAGTGCTGCAGAATTCGAGGAGGCACGAGTGGAGGGTGAAAGAGAGAAACGTGCCAGGAGGAAGGCGTCAAGCCAACCCCGACCGGGACCGCCTTCCACCTGGAAACCAATGCCTTCACTGTGGGAGAAGATGCGGGTCAAGAATAGGGCTCCACAGTCACCTACGAATCCACAAGGAAACCCAATGGAAGACCATCTTACTCGTCCAACGAGGGATTGCCTAAGTAAGTAAGTAAGTTACTGGATTATTCAGTAGACTCTTCTCTACAGTTCCATTTTGGCAGGAAGCCTTAGCATTGAACGGTTGTGTTGTTAAAGTGTGAAGTATGGAACTCTGCGCAGATGGTCAGTCAGTGCGACTTAAGTAACGTGCAGTCATTGAATTCTTGACAGCAGAAGGTGTAACCCCAAAGGAGATTCATCAGAGAATGCTAGCTGTTTATGGTGATTGTGTTGATGTGATGAGTACTCTGTATAGTTGGGCGAGTAAGTTTAAAGATTTTGAGGTGGGAACATCTGACTTGCGTGACAAAGAGTTGGACGTCCTGTGACAGCAACCACCGAGTTTCACAAGCAAAAGGTTGACTGATTGATTCAGGACGATCGTTGTATCACTCAGAGAGAAATTTCAAGCATAATCGGCATTTCACAAGAACGTGCGGGTCACATTATTGCTTTGCTTGTCTATTGGAAAATCTGTGCACGATGGGTACCCAGGATGCTGACGCCTAAAATGAAAGTGCACAGAAATGAAATTTGCCAGGAACTCCTCTTGCATTACGAGAATAAGGATGGTGCCCTTCTCCATTCAATCGTGACAGGAGACAAAACGTGAGTACAGCATTACGACCCAGAGACGAAGCATTGATGGAATAGTGACGTAAAGACTCGCCCCAGAAAAATAAATTCAAGACACAGCCCTCAGCTGGAAAAATCATGGCAACAGTGTTCTGGGATTCAGAGCATTACATCACAGCACTGCGAACTTTGAAACGACGGCTAACAAGGGTCTGAAAGGAAAAGGGAAATGTTTTCCTGCATGGCAACGCCAGGCCACACACTTCACATGCCACCACAGCAGAACTTCAGAGACTGGATCTCACCACCGTACAACATCCTCCATACAGTCCAAATTTAACCCCGTCTGACTTCCATCTGTTTCCGATAACGAAAGAAGATCTGTGGGGACATCATTATGCTTCTGATGAAGACGTCGAGAGAACTGTGAGATGCTGGTTGTGGAAACAGCGTGATGACTTCTTCCGTGACGGCTTCAGAAATGTATCCAAAATATCTGGTGATTATGTGGAAAAGTGAATAGTAGTAGTTAAAGAGCACATTCTATGGATTATTTCTGTGTTTGAATTATTAAAATATTCCCATCCTAACCCAAGTAACGAAGGTGGAGGCATTACTTTTCATTCAAGCCTCATAGACAAGTGGAGATTTATGTACCTGTGGAATGTCCAGGATGGGAGAAAGAACTCTTGTCTGTTTGAGGCAATGAAGGATTCCCCCAGACAGGAAGCAGACAGGCTTTGAAGCTGCGAGGCTACTCAGTGCTAATCAAGCTGGCCAATTGCAGCACTCCCACTTGCCTCAAGCAGGCAAGAGCTCTTTCTCCCACCCTGGATATTCCACGGATATATAAACCCCACCTCTGAGGGTGCCTGCCATAGATGTAGGCGAAACATCAGGAGATAATGCTTCTGGAACATGGCCAGACAGCCCAGAAAACTCACAGCAACCCTATATTTTATTTTATGATTGTAAGCCACTCCGAGTCCCTTTTTGGGAAATGGAGTTGGGTATAAATAAAAATAAAATAATAATAATAATAATAATTATTATTATTATTATTATTATTATTATTATTATTATTATTATTTGAAACACCACAAAATGAATCCACAGCAGACATTCTGCTGGCTGTTGTATTGGATTACACGTCGGCGAATAATGCGTGCAGAATGATCCCAGTAAGGTGGCCTTTTGCAGCTGGCAGATGGCAATCTTGTCAGCGCCGATTGTATTTAAGTGCAGGCCAAGGTCTTTAGGCACTGCACCCAGTGTGCCAATCACCACTGGGACCACCTTTACTGCCTTGTGCCAGAGTCTTTGCAGTTCGATCTTTAAATCCTCATATCATGCCATCTTTTCTAGTTGTTTCTCTTCAATCCTGCTGTCACCTGGGATTGCAACATCGACAATCCATACTTTGTTTTTTAACACAATTGTGACGTCAGGAGTGTTGTGCTCCAAAACTTGGTCTGAATCCGGAAGTCCCAGAGTAACTTGACGTGTTCATTCTGTGTAACTTTTTCCAGCTTGTGATCCCACCAGTTCTTTGTCGCAGGCAGATGGTATTTGTGGCACAAGTTCCAAATTTTTTATTATTATTATTATTATTATTATTTTAAAGCTGTGTTGAATCTCCTTTGGGAGAGATAAAGGTCGTTATAAATTATGATGATGATGATGATGATGATGATGATGATGATGATGATTATTATTACTATTATTATTATTACCCGATGTATTGGACTCCTTCAGAAGCAGCTCCCATACATTCAGCTAAAAGGAGAGTCAACAGTCCCATATGGACGTGTTTTGGTTCTTGTTTCTTTAATCAGTCTTTTAAATGGCTTTTATTTATATACAAAACAACAGCTACCAAGTACCATATCTGCATAACTCAAGACACAAGAATAAACCTGGAAGAAAGGCACGCCTATCATCCTTCTTGTAACAAAAGAGCTCGACTTGCATAGTTACAAAGCCTTAATGAGGCTCGTGGCTTGCCCTCCAGCGTGGATTCAGGGAAGTTTTGCAGAGGGCGAAGTGCCTTGCTTATTGTACCTTCCACACCCCAGGATGAAGCTGGCATTTCAAATAGTTGCAAAGAGCGATTGAATTCCATTCTGCATTCATCTTTGAGTTGGCGGAAGTTCCAGTGCCCATGGACATTTGTGCACAAACCTAGCAACATAATAAATCAAGATGAATCATGTGGGAATGCCTTAAACCAACAAGAAAGGGGGTTCGTTCCAATGTCTTCACTAATGCTAGGGATTTGTTTGGCCCTTCATTCTGTTTTTGGGCTTTGAAGGAGCAGTCTGTTTTGGAATAATAATGATAAGTTTTGTAACTTGTTCCTGTTTAGAACGGTTGTCAGTCAGTTGGCTTCCTTACCATTGAGATGCATTGAAAAGGCTTGCCATAGATGCAGGCGAAACGTCAGGAGAAAAATTGCCTCCAGAACATGGCCATATAGCCCGGAAAAACCTACAACAACCCAGTTCTTTGTGGCAGGCAGATGGTATTTGTGGCACAAGTTCCAATGAATCATCTGAGCAACGGTGTCATGCCTCTGCTTGTAGTCTGTCTGCGCGATCTTCTTGCAGCAGCAGAGGATGGGATCTATTGTTTCATCTGCTTCCTTGCAGACTCTACATTTGGGATCTGTTGTCGACTTTTCAATTCTGGCTTTGATGGCATTGGTTCAAATGGCTTGTTCTTGGGCTGCCACAATCAGATGGTTATTATTGTTATTGTTATTATTATTAAAAATAATTTTATTTATACCTCTTCGTTTTCTCTCCACAAAGAAAACTTAAAGCCAAAGGAAAGAATGTACATTTTATTTTTAAAAACTTATTTAAATTTCTTTATTTTAATACAGGCAGGCTTTCAGCATTCCTCTGATCCCACTTGGCTTGAAAGAAACCAAGGATGTTGACTTCTCTGTCCCTCTGAAGGTACGGTATCTTAAGATGTAATCTATATAAATAAAAATGTAATGTTCGTTTGTGGGATTAACAGAACTCAAAAACCACTGGGGGAATTGACACCAAATTTGGACACAAGACACCTAACAACCCAATGTATGTCCTTCACTCATAAAACACTGAAAAACACAGCAGAAGGGACTTAAAAAGCCCCAAAAAGCTAAATGACGAAAAGCTAAATGACAATACAGAAAAAAGGGAAGAAAGAGGAAGGGAAGGGGAGAAAAGAAAGAAAAAAAGAAAGAAAAGAAAGAGGGGGGGGGAAGAAAAGAAAGAGGGAAGGAAAGAAAGAAGGAAAGGGAGAAGGAAGCATGGAAGCAAAGAGAGAAGGAAGGAAAGAGATAGAGAAGGAAGAAAGGAGAGAAAGAGGGAGGGAAAGAAAAAGGGGGAAGGAAGGAAAGTTAGAGAAGGAAGGAAAGAGAGAAAAAGGGAAAGAAGGAAGGGAAGAGGGAGCGAAGGAAGGGCAGCAGGTTAAACCGCTGAGCTGCTGAACTTGCTGACCGAAAGATTGGCAGTTCGAATCCGGGCAGTGGGGTGAGCTCCCACTGTTAGCCCCAGCTTTTGCCAACCATGTAGTTTGAAAACATGTAAATGTGAGTAGATCAATAGGTACAGTTTCTGTGGGAAGGTTACAGCTAATTAGGATCTCATTCTTTCTCTTTCTAAATGAGTTTTGTCTCATGGTTGGCTTTTGCTAATTCCTCCTTCCCCAAATCCACATCAGACATATTTCTGTGTGTTTAAACAGATCTGTCGGCAAGGAGGCCAGTTTTGCCAGAAGGGAAGTAAATGTCAGGATTGAGCAATAGTACTTCTTGGAGAATGTATGTAACCTGACCAACAAAGTGTCCAAGAACTCAAAGCGTGTTTTGTCCTCTTTTAACCCTCCCATTTAGGCAGAATTAGTCAGAACTGTAGGGTTTTGCTGGAGGTAAAGCAGATGGTGAGGATTCTCAAGCTTGAAAGAGCAAATTCTGAGCTTTATCATGGTTCAAGACTTTCCGTATCTCTCCTTATGCGTATATGTCTTCCAAGTCTCCAGTCACTTTACAGTGACCCAATGCATTCCATAAGGTTTTCTTAAGTAAGGAATACTCAGTGGAGGTTTAGCCAGGTTTGCCTCTGAAATATAGGCGGTTACATCACTGGGTGTTGGTGTGAGGTCTCCAATCCAAGTACCACGTCTCCATTTTAGGAAATGTTTGTAAATTCTGATTAAAAACAAACAAACCAAAACAAAATTCTTACACATTTCTAGGGATGATTCCATACAATGGACTCATACATACAATGGAACAATTCCATACAATGGAATTGTTGGGAATTTGGGATTGATGCTGATAAAAAAAAACAAAAACAAATCAAAGCTCAAATGAACTGAAACTAAAAGTCCATCCTTCTTGTTGTTGCTAACTATATATTTACTCTGGACTAGAAGGCAACTTGCAAATTAAAATCACTGTAATATAGTTTTAAAAATGCAAAGACTCGGCATTAAAATAGAATAAAACTATAAACAACATTAAAATAATGCAAAAACAGTGATTCTCAACCTTTGTAATGCCTCGACCCTTTAATACAGTTCCTCCTGTTGTGGTGACCCCCAACCATAACATTATTTTTGTTGCTACTTCGTAATTTGTAACTTTGCTCCTGTTATGAATCGTAATGTAAATATCTGATGTGCAGGATGTATTTTCATTCAGTGGATCAATTTGGCACAAATACCCGATACACCCAAATTTGAATACTGGGCGTGTTGGGCAGGTTGATTTTGTCATTTGGGAGTTGTAGTTGCTGGGATGTATAGTTCACCTACAACCAAAGAGCATTTTGAACTCCACCAACCATGGAATTGAACCAAACTTGGCGCGCAGAACTCCCATGACCAACAGAAAATACTGGAAGAGTTAGGTGGGAGTAGACCTTGAGTTTTGGAGTTGTAGTTCACCTACATCCAAAGAGCACTGTGAACTCAAAACAGTGATGGATCTGGACAAAATTTGGCACAAATACTCAATATGCCCAAGTGTGAACACTGGCAGAGTTTGGTGAAAATAGATCTTGACATTTGGGAGTTGTAGTTGCTCCGATTTATAGTTCACCTACAATCAAAGAGCATTCTGGAATTGAACCAGTTGCACAGAACTCCCATGACCAACGGAAAATACTGGAAGGGTTTGGTGGGCATTGACCTTGAGTTTGGGAGTTGTAGTTCACCTACATCCAGAGAGCACTGTGGACTCAAACAATGATGGATCTGGACCAAACTTGGCACGAATACTCAATATGCCCAAATGTGAACACAGATGGAGTTTGGGGAAAATAGACCTTGATATTTGGGAGTTGTAGTTGCTGGGATTTATAGTTCACCTACAATCAAAGAGCATTCTGAACCCCACCAATGATAGAATTGGGCCAAGCTTCCCACACAGAACCCCATGACCAACAGAAAATACTGTGTTTTCTGATGATCTTTGGCGACCCCTCTGACACCCCCTCACAACCCCCCCCCCACGTTTCGGGCCCCCCCCCCCCCCAGTTGAGAAACACTGGTCTAAATGCAAATGTGATTTCAAGGGATAGGAAGGCCTTTCAGTTCCTGTTGGTAGCTTCTGAGATGATCTTCGTATGCTCTTTTGAACTCATCAGGGCACATTCTTATTTTGTTTTTCAGGACTTTATTCTGGAACACTACAGCGAAGATGGTTCTGAATATGAAAATGAAATTGCCGATCTCATGGATTTAAGACAAGTAAATTCTGTTTATTAGGGGAATACTATATTGGGCTTTGCTAACTCTCGTCCTGTTCCCCAGGGCTGCAAATGACATTGGTTCAACTTGGAACAAAGTCTCATCCCATTTACCTTACCAGATTGTTTATGAGGATAACATTAACATAGATATCCCTCATACATTTCTTGAGATCTTGAGAGAAGGGTGGGATACAAATGGAGTTGATAAGCAGGTTCATCTTGTAATACAAATTTGCTTCATATCACTACAAGGTTTATATCTAGTCCTGTTCTCATGTTTGTATGTTTGTATATTTTGAAATGTATGCTAACACTTTTTTGGCTTATCTTTACCAGAGCAATGGCTGGGACTTTTAATATTGTTTAAACTGTGTTGTCGAAGGCTTTCAGGGTCAGAATCGCTAGGTTGCTGTGAGTTTTCTGGGCTGTCTGGCCATGTTCCAGAAGCATTCTCTCCTGACGTTTCACCCACATCTGTGGCAGGCATCCTCAGAGGTTGAGGGGTCTGTTGGAAAGAAGCAAGTGAGGTTTATATATCTGTAGAATTATGTCCAGGATGGGGGAAAGAACTCTGGTCTGCTTGCGGCAAGTGTGAATGTTGCAGTAGGCCATCTTGATTAGCATTTAATGGCCTTACAGCTTCAAAGCCTTGCTGCTTCTTGCCTGGGGGATCCTTTATTGGGAGGTGTTAGCTGGCCCTGATTGATTCTTGTGAAATCCACAAATGTGAATGTTGCAGTAGGCATTCTTGAATAACATTTGAATGGCCTTGCAGCTTCAAAGTCTAGCTGGTTGCTGCTTGGGGGAATCTTTTTTTGGGAGGTGTTAACTGGCCCTGTCATAGAATCATAGAGTTGGAAGACACCTTGTGGGCCATCCAGTCCAACCCCATTCTGCCAAGAATCAGAAAATTGCATTCAAAGCACCCCTGACAGATGGCCATCCAGCCTCTGCTTCAAAGCCTCCAAAGAAGGAGCCTCCACCACACTCTGGGGCAGAGAGATTCCACTGCTGAACAGCTCTCACAGTCAGGAAGTTCTTCCTAAAATTGAGGTGGAATCTCCTTCCCAGCAGTTTGAAGCCATTGTTCTGTGTCCTATCCCTGATTGATTCTTGTCTGGAATTCTCCTGCTTTTTGAGTGTTGCTCTTTAATTACTGTCCTGGTTTTAGAGTTTTTAAAGTCTTGATATGTAGGGACCACCAAGCGCAGCAGCACTCCCCAGACACAAATCAAGGAACATGAAAGGCACTTCAGACTAACTCAAACAGAGAGGTCAGACATACCAACCTGGACACAGCATATTATCTGAGAACACGGAAATGCTGGACCACTCTCACAACCACCATGTCAGACTACACAGAGAAGCCATTGAAATCCACAAGCATGTGGACAATTTCAACAGAAAGGAGGAAACCATGAAAATGAACAAAATCTGGCTACCAGTATTAAACTCTAAAATTACAACAGCAAAACAACAGAGAGGAAACAATCAAGGACATCTAATCACCTCTCCACAAACACCTCCCAACAAAGGATTCCCCTCAGGCAGCAATCAGCCAGGCTTTGAAGTTGTAAGGCCATTACATGCTAATCAAGGTGGCCAATTGCAGCATTCACACTCCAACAGACAGGAGTTCTTTCTCCCAATGTAAACCTCACTTGCCTAGTTTCCAACAGACCTCACAATCTCTGAGAATGCCTGCCATAGATGGAGGAGAGAATGGGTTGATGTAGGTTTTTTGGGCTGTATGGCCATGTTCTAGAAGTATTCTCTCCTGACGTTTCGCCTGTATCTATGGCAGGCTTCCTCAGAGGTTGTGAGGGGGAGAGAATACATCTGGAACATGGCCAATATGTGCTTTGGACTGGGTTATCTGATTCTACACTGCAGTATAACCCAATTCAAAGCAGAAAATGTGGGTTTTATGCAGCTGTGTGGAAGGGGCCTTAGTATGACTTATTTAATGTTACCCATTAATGTTACCTTCTGTTATTCTTGGGCTGTTAATTCCCTTTACTTTGCATTTACTTTTGAGTGCATAGGAGCTATTTTACGCTTGACAAAATAATCTCTGTCTTAAGAAAGCCTGTTCCATAATGTTTCCATTTCTCTTTTGAAAACACTGCATCTCTTGTAATACCCATTGAGATAGATCCGTATCATTATATTGTGACTCACGTATGCTTTGTGTATTCTAAGGCTTGCCGTACGCCCAGCAGAGATGAATCTGGAGTCGAAATGTTGATAAGCTACTTTGTTCAGCTCGGCTTTATAGAAACTCGGTTTTTTTCGCCCAGCAGAAACCTGGGAATTTTATTTACCTGGTAAGAGCATTTCCCCCCTTAAAAAAAATAACAATAAAATAGAGCGTTGTTGATCTAACACAGTGTTTCCCAACCTTTGGTCCTCTAGGTGTTTTGGACTTCAATTCCCAGAAATCCCGGCTAGTTTACTAGCTGTTAGAAATTGTGTGTTGTATTGATGTAAATGGGGAAGTGTCCTGGGTTGCCCTTCAAGAACAGCCTTAATACAATGTTGAAAGTAAAAGAAAAATGCTTTACTTCAGCAAACACAAAGGATAAGCAAATGCAATTGAAAAGTGCAAAAGAAAGCAAGGAAGTCTTAATCCAGACACAAATTAAAGTCTCTTACAAAGTCCCAAAAGAAACAGCAGTCTTCCATCAGACAACGGACAATGATCACTAAGTTCTTAGCAGCAGACACAAAGCAGGTTCAGTTGGAGTGAGAACATCAGCATCAGCGTCCTTGTTACCAGCAAAAGCTGACTGCTCCTGCTTCTGATTTATAGCCCTGAATTCCCATGCAGGAGGTGCTAGGGTATCTCCCAATTAGCTCAACGTTTCTAGCAGCTATTCTAGCTGACTGCTCTGTCTCCTTTCGTCTCTCTAGAGATGTGGGCACTTTCAAACCCTCATCCTCTGATTCTTCTTCTCCCTCCAATTCCTGAGCACTTCCCTGCTCCCCTTCCTCTTCCGAAGATGAGGAATCCCTAACAGGAAGTGGATAATGGGAACTCTGGGCCTGCAAGCCAATATGAGATTTTAAGTCCTGGAAATGATCAGTCTGTGTCTCCAGGAGTTAGTGAAGGTCACATTCCAGAAAGGTGTCGAGATAGTGCAGAAGAGTCATTCTCTAGGGAAACTGAAATCCCAGGTGGAGAGAATAATGAGTTGCAAGATAATAAGATGGTTGATAGGAGACTCAGTTTTCATAAACTTCATGCTGCTCAACAGAATCTCTGAAGGTCATTGCGCTTGTTAGAGGAGAGACCCATATCAGGAAGTTCTAGAAAGCATGATTTAATGTCTATATAAGAGAGGCCAGGGGGATTTTCCAGCCAGTCTGATCATCGTTGATAATTGAGGCAATAACGCTTGTCAAGTCGTAGTCAAGCTTTCTGAGGGAATTCTAGTTCCATGTCTTTGCTCTTGTGTCATGCTTCCAAGTTTGAAGGATTGTTCCTGGATTTTTGTATTGGATTCTATGCTGCCTTGTACATCCTGGTTTTCTTGTATTCCTGTGCTGGATGTCCTGTTGCTTTGGGATTTTGGATTACTTTGTACGCTGAACCTTGTGGACTATTTTAACTGATTCGTAACCCTTTTGGTACTAATGTTGGAGAGTGGTCCCTGGTCAAAGTGGTCCCTGGTCAAAAAAAGGTTGGGAACAACTGGTGTAGATCTAGCAACACAAATTCTCAAAGCAGTAGTTGCATTACTAATTAGGGATTTGTGTCATGTTTTCTCTCTCGTGTTAGAAGCAACCCATCGCAGTGTGTTTTCCCATATGTGTCTCGTGTGCTTTTCATTAATTTCTGGATTTTTTTTGTTTTTTTCCTTTTGTCCAAAAGGTATGACTGCTTCACGGGCGTCCCTGTCTGTCAGAACAATTTGTTGCTTGAAAAGGCTAGTGTTTTGTTTAATATTGGCGCGCTCTACACGCAGATTGGTACGAGGTGCAACCGGCAGACAGCGGCTGGGCTGCAAAAGGCCATTGATGCATTTCAGAAAGCTGCAGGTAAGAATGAACTGTGGGTTATCGCAAGCAACATAACTTATTTCCTCTTGTTTATCGTATTGTTGAAGGCTTTTCACAGCTGGAATCACTTGGGTTTTGATTGGTTGCGGACTGTACGGCTGGGTCCTAGCAGCAAAACAGGAGAAAGTGCTGCTAGAACCCAGCCATGCAGCCCGCAACCCACACAACACCCTCTTGTTTCTCTTGCTTGCCTTCCCTCTATAAAGGGCAATATGAATACCATAGTTAATGAGTGACAGTCTAAAGGAAGCCTAAGTTACTTTAGCCCCTTATTAACCAGTTGTCGATCTTCACAATTGTGGTCTTGACCTTTGCGTTACCAATCTCGCTGCAAGGCAACTTTAATAATATGTCATCTATTAGTATATTCATTTCTTTGCAATGGAAGTTCCATAATATTCACATCTTAACCCTCCTCAGTTTAAATGCAGTAGTAATAATATCTGTTCTGTCTTCCAGGAGCATAGTTTGCATTACCTTTTAGTTGCATGGGATAGCATTCTTTTGCATTTCCCCAGGGCTGCTACAATCTTAGCTGCACTCTGAAAGTTAACAGCATTAGAGGCTAGAAAGCCAGCCTGCAGGCCCCTTTTGCAGCTATTGGTTTAGAAAGTATCTCTTTGGGTTTAGAGACCGCCCTTTTTCCAGGGGTTGAGATCTCCATTTTGGAATCTCCCCTGTCTCCTTCAGTAGAGAAGAAAGCTTCAGATGTGCTATTGGTTAGGCAGGTAACTCTGAAAAAAACCATTGTAAGAACGATTGAGATAGATAGATAGAATAGCGATTGAGATACTGATTAAGATATAAGGAAGCTAATTGAGTTATAGCTCATTGAGTCTTTAAGATAGAGAGAGAAAGAGAGAGAGAGATAGGCTTATTGAGTCTTGATTGAGTCATTTAGCTAGATGAGCTAATTGAGATATAGATAGTTTTTGAGCTCTATTTCCTTCATTTCCAAACTCACCTTGGGCTGGAATAGGGAAAGCGTACGCTTTCTAAAAGATAGTGGCTCAAGGTTAGGGTAAAAAGATCAGGATTTTTTCTACCACTTGGATGAAGGCAGCTCAGCGACTAGAGGAAAAAAGAAAGAAATAACATTTCTATGATTTCACCAATTGTTTTATCTAAAATTCTAGGCTCCCTGAGAAACAGATTGTTGTCTTTGCCTAATGCTAGTTATGTCCCCGTCCCCCCCGCCACCAAAAAAAAAAAATCTTGTTAATGAGAGTAGACCTTTTAATAGGATTCCAAGACCCTCTCCCTCCAAAGGCATTTTGCACCAAATATTACTGATGCATTTGGAGAGGCATCAAGAAGTCCGTAAAATGCAACAAAGCCTTTATTGAGCAATTAAAACTTGCTGGCAAACTTGACCAACCAGTTGCAGAGATGAGGTTTCAGTCCCAGAAAGCCTTACTTAGTGCTTGTGCGGCAGCCAATATTTGTTTTTCATTTTCCAAAGGGATAGTTTTGTATGGAACTGGATGTTATCTTGGCTCTGTTGACATTACTTCTTTGGTCTCGTAACCCAGCAGTGGCTGAACCTCAGGCTTCCCTACAGGTGGTTTTCCGAATCCGTGTGCAGAGCAACCTGGGTGCTTTTCCTCTTTGCATTCTCTACTTTCCTTTCTCCTTGATTTTCCTCTCCATATAATCCTTTGTGAAAGACCCCACACTGCTCAAGTCTCGAGTCCTCAATGAGGAACAGTTTAGTTAATTTAGTATAGACTAAGGGTCCCCCTATGTCTTCAGAATGACAGTTGGGAATATATCTCTCTTCTCTCTTTCTGCTCTCATTCTGATTAGTTGTTTGAAATGGATACTTTTCTTCAGCAAGCTTTTGAATTTGACTTCTGCCTTCTTACACTTTAGTATGGAGAGTATGTGCTGTGTGCTTTGAGATCTCTCTCTGCTTGTGTGTCAGGAGAAATGTAGTGATTGAGTTTTTCCCTCTCTTGAAACCTTAGAGGAGATGGGTGTTAGAGTAGCTCAGACACAATTCTTGGATATTGAGAAATGCCATTACAGTATTTCTTATTATTGTAAATAAACCTTTTGTGATTTTTTAAAAGATTGGACCCTACATGTTTGCCTCCTACTTTACTTACGTACTTATTATTTACTGTATTTATATACCACCTTTCTCAGCCCAAAGGCGACTCAAGGTGGTTTACAGTCAGCACAATTCAATGACCCCAACAACATAAAATATAATTAAAAACATTTAACATATAATATAAAACCATATAAAACTAATAAAAACCTAAGTGTCTCCTTACTAAAATTGTTTTCCAGTCGCATTTCCAGTCATTCCGTGGATCTAGATTTGCCAGTTACACTGCATTTGCAAATGCTTGCTCAAAAACGCATATCTGGTTTACTCACAAACTTCCTGTATTCAGCATACAAGTACATTGCTTATCAGTTGAAATTTTAAACAGTAAATTCTCTAAGGCATTCTGTTCCAGTCTTTTCTCTGTCTTATGCCCAATGCATACTCTCAATGCAAACTGAACACAACCTGAACACAACTGACTATACAATACACTGACTTCTAAAATGGAGTCTCAGTCTGAATAGTCCCAGATCTGATCACATGGTCTGCAGTCCCTCCCACAACCTCAAACAACATAGAGTTAAGGAAAAACTGCATACCAGTACACACTGATACAATATAATAAACAATCTGAATTATATAGATCTATATAAATAAAAATGTAATGTTTGTTTGCAGGATTAACATAACTCAAAAACCACAGGGCAAATTGACATCAAATTTGGACACAATATATCTTTAAGGCCAACGAGTGGCCATCACTCATAAAAACACTGAAAAACACAGCAGAAGAGACTGTAAAAGCCAAAATTTAAAAAATACATTACAGTGCATGGACAAAACCACATTTATTTTATTTTATGGTATTTATATCCCGTCTCTTCTCTACCCCCGAAGGGGGCTCAGGATGGTAGCAATTTGATGCCGTTACATATGCACCATTAAATACAATAACCGTTAAAACAAACCATTAAACCATTAAAATACATAAAATACATAAGGCATTAATTAAGCAGTATAAAAGCCTTAATTATCAATAAATCCGTATTCTCATGTAAATCGCCTTTCCAGTCCATTTCAACCAAAGTGCTGATTTATGTCTGCGGAACGAAAGCCTGGTCTCACAACCACGATTTTACTTTCTTCCTGAAAGCCAGGAGGGATGGGGTCGATCGTATCTCATTTGGAAGCATGTTCTACAGGCGGGGGGCCACATACATGAGCTCTGAATTCTTTGCAGCCACACCACACAGCACTTCACGCTTTGCTCACTAATGAGCTAATGCTCAACTTTTTTGTATCCTGTTTGTTTTTGGATGCTCTGCTGTTTATTTTAATTTTTCCTAACAATAATAAGCCTTCCGCTTCTTCCCTCCTTTTCTGCCAACCCTCTTTTAGGTGTCCTAAATTATCTCAAAGAGACATTCACTCACACACCGAGTTATGACATGAGTCCCGCCATGCTAAGCGTACTGACCAAAATGATGCTCGCTCAAGCGCAGGAGTGCGTTTTCGAACAGATTTGCCTTCCGGGAATACGGAATGAGTTCTTCACCCTGGTGAAAATGGCCCAGGAAGCTTCCAAGGTAAGCTACAAAGGGGAAAGCTGGGTCTTGCTCCTTTGTGTTGGCCATATATACATTTGAAGACCACCAGGCTCCTTATGTAATAACACTGGCCAACACATATATTGGTGTCTCAGATGTTAGATATGTTTCTGGATATATTTGACCTGTGGATTCCAAAAAGGGCACCAGTTTTCCTCTAGCACAATGTTTCTCAACCTTCCTAATGCCATGACCCCTTAATACAGTTCCTCATGTTGTGGTGACCCCCAACCATAACATTATTTTCGTTGCTACTTCATAACTGTAATTTTGCTACTGTTATGAATCGTAATGTAAATATCTGATATGCAGGATGTATTTTCATTCACTGGACCAAATTTGGCACAAATACCCGATACACTCAAATTTGAATACTGGTGGGGTTGGAGGGAGACTGATTTTGTCATTTGGGAGTTGTAGTTGCTGGGATTTACAGTTAAGCTACAATCAAAGCATTCTGAACTCCACCAACGATGGAATTGAACCAGACTTGGCACACAGAACTCCCCATGACCAACAGAAAATACTGGAAGGGTTTGGTGGGCATTGACCTTGAGTTTTGGAGTTGTAGTTCACCTACATCCAGAGAGCACTGTGGACTCAAACAATGATGGATCTGGACCAAACTTGCACGAATATTCAATATGTGAACACTGGTGAAGTTCGGGGAAAATAGACCTTGACATTTGGGAGTTGTAGTTGCTGGGATTTATAGCTCATCTACAACCAAAGAGCATTCTGAAGCCCACCAACGATAGAATTAGGCCAAATTTCCCACACAGAACTCCCATGACCAACAGAAAATACTGTCTGTGAGGGTCTTTGGCGACCCCTCTGACACCCCCTTGCGACCCCTCTAGGGGTCCCGACCCCCACGTTGAGAACCACTGATCTACATCCAGAGAGCACTGTGGACTCAAACAATGATTAATTATCTTTCTTTAAAATCCTTTTTAATCTTGTACCCTCTATATCAGACATCATCAAATTTGGGCCGTTCTGGTGTTTTGGACTACAACTCCCACAATTCCTAACAGCCTTCTGGATGTTAGGAATTGTGGGAATTGGAGCCCAAAACACCTGGAGGGGCCAAATTGGCCCAGCCAGCTCTATATTTAATCAAAACGCAAAGATAATAAGCTTCCGTAACTCTACGCTCGCACGGAATCAAAGACGTGGTGGGGGAACAAGTGGTCTTTCCTGCAAGAATCAGATTATTATGAAAGTAAAGATCCAAAGGTCTGTTCTTGACTGACTTGCAGGCTTCCACATTTGTAAGCATTTAGAGTGCTTCCAAAGACAGGCCAATGGCATCCTCTCTTCAACACTTTACGAATGACTAAGATCTTAATGACTGAGTGACGACTCATTGTTGCCTCTTGTGCTTTGTTTCTAGGTTGGAGAGACCTACTTGCTCGTCAATATAGCAATGAATCAAGCACCCGTCAAGGAAAATATCCCTTACTCTTGGTCCAAACTGGTTCAAGTCAAATCAGATCACTTCGGAGCTTTAGCGCATTATTTTGTTGCAACTATCTTGGGTGACCACCAGCGTAAGTATGAACGTTGACTTCTTTGTTTACATTACCCAGAGGAAGGCAACCCGTGCCCTGTCTCAGCTATTATTGTAACCCAGATGTTGACTATGCAGTGCCACATTACCACACTAACTAGAAGAGTGGACCTTGTAGTAAAAAGGAAGTGAATACCTAGAAGCGATTAGGAAGTGAATAGATTATTATTATTTATTATTTAAAACATTTCTACCCCATCCTTCTCAACCCCCGGGGCTGGGGGACTCAGAGCGGCTAACACAAGCAGCAATTCGATGCCACAATATCAATAAACAAGAGTATAAAACCATAAATACATAAAAGATTCAAAACAGTAAAATTAATTATATAATCACATAATCACATAGCCATTTCCAATTATCATAACAGTCGTATGGTCCAGTTCCATGTTCAAAGTGCTGCTGCGCCCGCTAGCTGAAAGCCTGGTTCCAAAACCATGATTTTAGTTTTTTCCTAAAGGAAAGGCGGGAGGACACCGATCTAATCTCACTGGGGAGCAAATTCCACAAGCGGGGGGTCACCACCGAGAAGGCCCTGTTTGAGATTGAGGTGGTGGGATCTCCTTCCTTGGACCTCTTGAGGCAGATGCTGAATGGGCATCTTCTAGGACTTCTTTAGTTGATAGTGTGTTGACTCGAGGGCCCTTCTTGGTCCCTTCCAATGCCAGAATTCTGTGATATATAACAACAACAACAATATGTTATTACAGTCCATAGACCCATAGTAAAACCAAGTCATTATAAATTCTCCCATCTCAGGAGAAATCTGTTGTACAAGATACAGCGGTTTCAAGTAATAACCCCATCAGAGGTTAGTTGCTTTCTCAGCCTTGTTACCACTGTGAGGAATTTTGCCACTATGAGCAAGTCACCCTGTTTCTAAAAGATATCTAACAATCCTCTGCAGGGGATGGCAGGTCATGCGGGACAGTATTAGATATGAAAATGATGTGGCGGCAAAAAAAGGCAATGGGATTTTGGCCTGCATCAATAGGAGCATAGTGTCTAGATCCAGGGAAGTCATGCTACCCCTCTATTCTGCCTTGGTTGGACCACACCTGGAATATTGTGTCCAATTCTGGGCACCACAATTCAAGAGAGATATTGACAAGCTGGAATGTGTCCAGAGGAGGGCGACTAAAATGATCAAGGGTCTGGAGAACAAGCCCTATGAGGAGCGGCTTAGGGAACTGGGCATGTTTAGCCTGAAGAAGAGAAGGCTGAGAGGAGATATGATAGCCATGTTTAAATATGTGAGAGGAAGCCACAGGGAGGAGGGAGCAAGCTTGTTTTCTGCTTCCTTGGAGACTAGGACGGAACAATGGCTTCAAACTACAAGAGAGGAGATTCCATCTGAATATGAGGAAGAACTTCCTGACTGTGAGAGCTGTTCAGCAGTGGAACTCTCTGCCCCAGAGTGTGGTGGAGGCTCCTTCTTTGGAAGCTTTTAAACAGAGGCTGGATGGCCATCTGTCGGGGTTGCTTTGAATGCAATTCCTGCTTCTTGGCAGAATGGGGTTGGACTGGATGGCCCATGAGGTCTCTTCCAAATCTATGATTCTGTGAATGTTGCCTGTGTTGCACTGTGTGGTAGTAGCACTGCAATAAAATGAGTTCTGTTGTTTCTATTTTATTTCTTCTACAGGGGTATAGTCTTTGGGTGTAAGGAATTGCAGACTGTCTGCCTCTTAGCAGCTTTGATATTAGTACTATAAATACCACCTCTACTATAATAGAGAGTTTAGTTTAAGCATGTTAGATAGCTCTTTTAAAATTCTGTCTAAAACCCAGAGCGGATTCCCTGTCATCGTCAGCTGGTTTGAACAGTACTTAAAAATAATGAATAAAACAATGAAATCTGCCTGATTTCTATGACTATTCATTCACTTATTATAGTTTTAGTAGCGAATATGTGCAGGAGATTTAAAGCAATCTCAATGCACACACACTGGCTTGCAGTGTGAAACATGAACCTAACACAGATAGTAATCCTTTGAAAAAACTGGTTTTGGAAGACGAAGAACAGCAATTCAGGCCTTAAGGCATGCGATCCAGACAGGAAATGAAAGTCAACAGGCACTTATCCTCCCTTGCATATATGTTTATTTTCTCCGCGGCAGTGAATCAAAATGATGACGAAGACCAACAGGAAAAGGCCTTCTCCCAGCTGTACGACCACATGCCAGAAGGGCTGGCTCCCCTGGCCATTCTGAAAGACAGAGTCCAGCGCAAACAACTGGGTAAGAACACACTCCTCAGACCCAGAGCCAAGCCACACTTTCTCTCACTCTCTGATTGAGAACAAAGGAGATTAACCCAGTTTAGGCTGCAGCACCCATCATCCTTGACCACGGCACATGATGGATGGATGACATATACAGAATGGGTTAAAAAGGGTGAAGCCAATACAGTTGTCATATAGAAATTAAGAAAGCTGTGTGCACAGTTAAAGATAGCAGTCTTGGGAATATATGTGGGCTAAGGAATGGGTATGGGAGCCCCTGGTATGGTATGATATACTGGTATGGTATGGGTAAGGTATGGTAAGATATGGGAGCCCCCAGTAGCGCAGTGGGTTAAACTACTGAGCTGCTAAGCTTGTTGACCGAAAGGTTGCAGGTTCGAATCCGGGGAGCGATGTGAGCTTCCGCTGTCAGTCCCAGTTTCTGCCAACCTAGCAGTTTGAAAACATGCAGATGTGGGTAGATCAATAGGTACCGCTTTTGTGAGAAGGTGACGACACTCCATGCAGTCATGCTGGCCACATGACCTTGAAGGTGTCTATGGACAACGCTAGCTCTTTGGCTTAGAAATGTATATGAGCACTACACCCCAGAGTCGGACACGAATGGACTTAATATCAGGGGGAAACCTTTACCTTTACCTAAGGAATGGATAATGGATGGATGGCCAACATGGGTGAGTGGGGTTTTAGTTCAGCCTGTGATTGTGTCTGATGTCAATGGGAATGATGGTTTTCCTGGGCCTGTGTCTGATATCAGTGGGGAATGATGGTTTTCCTGGGCCTGAGTTGTCAAGTCCTGGCCTTTTTGAAAGGCCCAAGGTTTTGTCTTGAACAGAGTGCCTCTTCTGTAGATTCTCAAGGTCAGATTCCTGAAAGGGGCCCTTGGCAGCCTTTCTCTGAGGAACTGTCTTCTGAGGATGATGTGTCAGGAGCAAAAGTTAATGAAATTGAAGATAGAAGAAAAGACTTTTGTAAACTAAGAGAAAGTTCCCAAGCTCACTGAAGGTTGGCCCATCTATTAGAAAAGAGAGAAAAGAAATCATCATCTGGTTGTAAAGACAAACTGAATGTTTTCCTTTCGTTTCATGAAGCAGGAAAAGCTTTATAGAGAAGGAGAAGGAAAGGATTTTAGAGAATGAAACAAAGTTTGTGTACACCAGGCATGGGCCAACTTCTACCCTCTCTCCAGGAATTTTGGTCTCCACCTTCTACAATTCCTAACAGCCAGTAGGCTGTTAAGAATTGTGGGTGTTGGGAGTCCAAAACACCTGGAGGGAGGACCGAAGCTAGCCCATACCTGCATAAAGGTATTTAGGGGCTCCCCATTTCCGACCGCAGTCCTGTTTATGGCCCTCCTCTTTGCTCTTCTTTAGGGAAATCCCATTTGAAGAGGGCCATCGTCCACCACGAGGAAGCCTTAAGGGTTTGCAGCGTGTGCAGAAAGCTCCGGAATATCGAGGTCCTCCAGGAAATCCTGTCGGTTGCACACAAGCGATCCCTCCTTAAATATTCACAGCAAGAACTGGAAGATGACTTCTTGAGTTTGGCGTCTGCTTCCGATATCCTTCGTAAGTACATTTCACCTTGGCCTGCCCTGGTGTTCTAAGCTAGGCTCCTGATGGATATTGAAATTCATATACAGTTGAGGCAAGAAATGTGCAAACTACCGTAGTCAAAGCTGTTGACTTCTTTGTAAGTCAGCATGTTGTTTGCTTAGCGGAGATCTACATTGAAACAAGGGGCATTCATTAAATATTTCCCCTGACCCACCTCACGTTGACTGAGAACAATGAAACGTGGCATGGTTATGAGTCCTTCTCTCCATCAGAGCCACCTCGGGGCACACACTTCTCCCATCTTTTTAAGCAACTGTAAACACCTCGCTTGTAGAAGTCGACACGTTGCTCCAAAAGCCACATTGTGACTTCAGAAATCAGAGTCTCATCATCTGAAGAATGTTTGCCCTTCAAAAATAACTTAATTGTTGGAAAGAGGTGGAAGTCTGATGGTGCGAAGTCGGGTGAATAAGGGGGATGCGGGAGAATGTCAAAGCCACTGGAGCATGCTTCTTCCATTTGGGCAACAGGTGAGTTGTGGACTGGGAGCATGCCACATTGACTCTTGGTTTGGATGGCGTCCTGCAATTTCTGCAGCAATAAAGCCTTGTCTGCCCCAGTGATCATGGCACCCTTTCCTAGGAAACCCATCAATCCTACTCAGTGCTGGTCTCACAATATTATGAGCATGACCTTGCCTGCCAAGAGTTGGGCACGTGCCTTCTTTGGAGGTGGTGAGTCAGGATGCTTCCATTGCATTGACTGGACTTGAGTCTCAGGATCAGAGTGATGGACCCAGCTTTCATTCTGTGTGATCAGCCTGTTGAAAAAGTCCTCCTGGTTTCCATGGCACATCATTGTCAAGAGAGTCTGAGAGCATTCGACTCATTCCTTCTTCTGGAAAGGTGTGAGCAGCCGGAGGACCCAGCGAATGAATACCTTATGTATATGACAATCGTCTTGGATGATTTGTTCCAAGGACACCACACTAATCTTGACATTTTGGGCTAGGTGGTGAATGGTGAATAGTGGTGAATGGTGACTTCCACTTTCTGGATGGTGTGTTTATAAATAGCAGAATGGGGTCGCCCTGAATTGGAGCTGTTTGCACCGAAGTCTGACCACATTTAAATTAATGGTGTCAGTTCTTGTCTCCATCATATGATAGGGAATCATCACCACAAATCTCTATCATCTAATTGAACGTGTCCAGCCTTCAAGTCAAGGAACTTGAGGACTGCTCTGTATTCCACTGGGTCCATTCTCAAACTTCACACCACTTCCTGTAAAATCTGTAAAATCAAGACCGTTCTCAGTTCTGAGTTGTAAATTGGCACATAACCTATAGAGACTTATATCATTACACATGTGCAGTTTCAGCATCCTGTGATGAATTGAAGTGGGTCAGGGGAAATTTTGAATGAATGCCCTTTGTAGTTTCCTCCAACATATTTCCTTGAACGTATCCTACCCTTCAATTGTTGTGGAGATGAAATGGGGAGAGAATTATGCATATATGTTAAACTCTTAGGAGGAGCATGAGAATTAAAAACAAATCATTGTGTTTGGTTTTCTTCATAGCTAAGACAGACCATAAAGTAGAAGCTGTCGCTCCCCAGTTCTCAAAGGTGAAAGTGAAAGACTTCTTCGAAAAACTGGTATGTATGCAACTATATATAGGTTTCACGTTAGCTTGTGTGTACCATTGCTGCGGGTGAGCGTGAATGCTTTCTCATATTTAAAATTGCAGACAATATTAGATTGCTAATTGGAAAGTAAACCTGAGCTTCATTTGCAAGTCTAATTGCTGAAGCATGTGTCTGTGAGTAAACGCCTTGACCTAGTCTGACACTCACAAGTTACAAACAGGAGAGGTTCTGTAGGTTTGTTCTTAAGTTGAATGTGTTTGTAAGTTGGAAGAAAGCCACTGAAAAAGCCCCTTCCATGTCATTACCAAACAAGGAGAGATTTATAGAAAGCATATGTATTTTATCGTTTACTCTTTCAGTCACTTCTGACTCTTCGTGACCTATGTATATGAATATACATGTATGTGACCTATGTATGTGTGTGGGTATATACATGTGTGTGTATATATACTGTATATATTTGAGTATAAGCCTAGTTTTTCATGTATTACTTTATTGTTTTTTAAATTATTATTATTATTATTACATTTATCATTTTATTCTATTATTATTACATTTATTATTTTACTTTATTAGTGTTATTATTACATTTGTTATTTTACTCTATATGTTATTATTACATTTATTATTTTGCTCTATTATTACAGTTACATTAAATTTCCATTATTTTACTCAATAAACCACATTTATTATTTTACTTTATTATTATTGGATAGATAAGTAAGCACATTCACATTGAAGAAAGTTAGAATAATGGTTTAATCAAAGTTGGGCAGCCTTATCTTATCTTACTCAACTGCCGAGTATGCCTGTCCTGTTTGGCATAGGTCTGCCCATGCAAAGCAGGTGAACATAGCATTGAATGAAACATGCAGAATAATCACAGGATGTCTTAAACCTACACCTGTTAATAAACTCTACAAGCTAGCTGGCATTGCCCCCCCCCCCCCATGTGCAACGGGAAGTTGCTGCTAAATGTGAGAGAAATAAGGTTGAACACTGTGAAAGCCACCCACTGCATGGCTACCAGCCTCCTCCGAGTAGACTCAAATCAAGGAAAAGCTTCATGAGAACTACCACTCCTCTTGGCGTCCCTCCAGCAACAGCAAGGGTATCCCTCTGGGCAGCTAAACCAGGAAATCCCAAGTGGATCCGTCCCCCTCCACGAGGGTCCTCCTCCAGGGGCAAACCAAGAATGGGCAACTTGGAAGTCCCTGAACAGACTCAGAAGTGGAGTGGGCAAAAGACAACCTGGCAAAATGGCACTACCTAAAAGAATCCCACACCTTGTGTGACTGTGGAGCAGAACAGACAACTCCGCATCTGTATGCTTGTCCACTATGCTCTGCCTCATGCACAGAGCAAGAATTGTTAGAGGCTACAGACAATGCCATTGCTGTTGCCCGTTTTTGGTCAAAAGATATTTAGCTGTCTGCGCACCTTCTCTTTTTATCAATTTTATATTAATTTATGCAATGCTTTTGATACGAAATAAATAAATCTTAAATTACAGTTTTATGTAAATATTCAAAAACATTTAACCACTGATGCCTCAATTAATTTAATGATATTGGTATCTATTTTTATTTTTAAATTTATCAGTATCTTCTGTATTTTTCACCCTCGGCTTATACTTGAGTCAATCTGTTTTCCCAGTTTTTTGTGGTAGATTTAGATGCCTCGGCTTATATTCAGGTTGGCTTATACTCAAGTATATATGGTGTGTATGTATGTATATGTGTGTGTGTGTGTGTATGTGTGGGTGTATGTGTGTGTGTGTGTGTGTGTATATATATATATATATATATTCTATAGTGGTTCATCATCACACATATCTCAATTATGGCTAAAAGAATGGAATGTGTTGCATCCGAGTCAAGGCTAAGCAGAATGGCACGTACATCAATTACGTGACTATCAAATTAAAAGGATATTTCTAGATAAGGAAGGAGAGGTTCTTTGTGAGTGAAAACATGTTTATGATGTGACTTAAGATGTGTAGATCACGGCAAAGTCGGTTTAACACGCTGTTCTGTGCCTCTCAGGGTCCGCTCGCGGTGTTTTCAGCCAAGCAGAGGTGGACGGCTCCTCGCTCCGTTCGCTTTCGATGTGAAGCTGGGAATCTGGGATTTACCCTGAAAGGCGGGCCTCCCGTCCACGTTTACTGCCTAGATCCAGCTTGTCCCGCAGCGGTAAGAAGTCTCATCTAAATTGCTTCATTTTGCTTTCAAGCTTAGCCTTTTTTTTCCTTCCGTGACCTTCCCCTTTTATTTTGTGTTTCTCTCCAAAGGGTAAAATGAATATTTCAGTGTTAAATATTAACAAAAGTCATTTGCCAACATAGGATAGAAAAAATATATATTTGAAGTAAACCTGTCGTGAATGCAGCACACTCCAACTCCTGCTTTTGGTTTAAGAGGGGGTTTTGTCCAGTGCTTATAACTTAGTATTCCTAGTTGTAAATTTAGCTGTGAACTGTGACCCTCCGTCACAAAACACACTGTAATCATTGCTTGCATTTCTCCAAGCTTTTTCAAATGGTATAATTTAAGGGCAGTGCATAGCACAGTGTGTTCCGTGAAAGCCTGTTGGATTGTTTATATTTTGCAAGTGATGCAAGTGCTGTGGGAAAGCTCATCTTCTAACCACTCAATGGAACACAGTTCCCAGCTTTTGTGGATTTTTTTGTCTGTTCAGATTATCTTCTGAAGCATGGATTGGAATTGAGCCACCGAGCCATGCATGCCTCCCACCTTCTTGTACGCTAATTGTGATTTCTTATAATAGAATCCAGAGTTGGGGACTATTTTTATTAAGACAGTGGGTTGAATTATTCAGAACTCTTCAAGCAGGTGGTACAAACATTGACAGAAAAGGAAGAAACAACAAGTTGCTTTGAGTCTCCTTGTGGAGAAATAAACATAATAATAATAATAATAATAATAATAATAATAATAATAATAATAATAATAATAATGGCACACTAGGTGCAGTGCCTAAAGACCTTGGACTGCACTTAAAAACAATCCCAGATGACAGCAGAATTGACAAGAAGCAACTAGAAAAGCTTACACAATACGAGGATTTAAAGATTGAACTGCAAAGACACTGGCACAAGCCAGTCAAGGTGGTCCCAGTGGTGATCGGCACACTGGGCGCAGTGCCTAAAGACCTGGGCCTGCACTTAAAAACAATCCCAGATGATAGAAGAGTTGACAAGAAGCAACTAGAAAAGCTGACACTATATGAGGATATAAAGATCAAACTGCTAAGACTCTGGCACAAGCCAGTCAAGGTGGTCCCAGTGGTGATTGGCACACTGGGTGCAGTGCCTAAAGACCTTGGCCTGCACTTAAAAACAATCGGCGCTGACAAAATTACCATCTGTCAGCTGCAAAAGTCCACCCTACATGGATCTGCACGCATTATTCGGAGATTCTGGTTTTCCAAAAGGTTATCATATCAAAGGCCATCCTTTTCCAAAAGGAAAAACATGCAGAAACTATAATAGAGGAAGAACATTTCATTTTCTGACTCTAAGATGTACCCAATCATTTAAAGTTGGCAGGCCTGAAAGAAGGGGATTGCCTTGTTGCTGTTGAAGGCGCAGACTGCAAATGGCTGGGCGTCAGTGAGGTCTTGGAAAAGCTGCGCAACTTGGGAGACCAGGAGATGGAGATCCAGGTGATCAGCTGCCAAGATACTGCAGCTTCCCTGGTAAGTGAAATGGGACAGTACGTCACTGAAAATCCCGATCATGATAACAATTGCTTAGGCTCCCATCTTAATAAATGTAAGGCTGTTTTAAGTCATAACCCCACGTGGGAATAAATGAGACTTACTTCCAAGTACACAAAGTAACTTTGTATTGCTATGAATTGTCCGGGTTGTATGGCCATCTTCCAGAAGCATTCGTTCCTGATGTTTCGCCCACATTTATGGCAAGCATCATCAAAGGTTGTGAGATCTGTTGGAAACTAGGCAAGTGGGGTTTATATTCCTGTGGAATGATGTCCAGGGTGGGAGAAAGAACTCTTGTCTGTTGGAGGCAAGTGTGAATGTTGCAATTGGCCAGCTTGATTTGCATTAAATAGCCTGGCAGCTTCAAAGCCTGGCTGCAAAGTAACTTTGCTTTTTCATTAATAAAATTCTTTCTGAGATATTCAACCAATAAGGTGTGCATGTTTAGGCGAGGGAGAGCATGTGAATCTGGAGAGAGGCTTGGGCCAGCAAGTCCCTTCAAGGCGTGGGGGCTCTGTTGGGAAGCTTGATCCAATTCTATTGTTGGTGTGGTTCAGAATGCTCTTTGATTGTAGGTGAACTATAAATCCCAGCAACTACAACTCCCAAATGTCAAGGTCTATTTTCCCCAAACTCCACCAACGTTCACATTTGGGCATATGGAGTATTTGTGCCAAGTTTGGTCTAGATCAGGCATCCTCAAGCTGTGGCTCTTCAGCTGTTTGGACCTCCAACTCCCAGAAGCCCTAATGAGCTTATTCAATTGTCAGGAATACTGGGAGTTGAGGGGCCAAACAGCTGGAGGGCCACAGTTTGAGGATGCCTGGTGTAGATCCTTCATTGTTTAAGTCCACAGTGCTCTCTGGATGTAGGTGAGCTACAACTCCAAAACTCAAGGGCAATGCCCACTAAACCCTTCCAGTATTTTCTGTTGGTCGTGGGAGTTCTGTGTGCCAAGTTTGGTTCAATTCCATATTGGTGGAGTTCAGAATGCTCTTTGATTGTCGGTGAACTATAAATCCCAGCAACTACAACTCCCAAATGACAAAATAAAATTTTTGAGTGATGTTCACTCCTTGGGTTAGCAGGTGTCTTGTGGCCAAATTTGGTGGCAATTAGTCCAGCAGATTTTGAGTTAAGCTGTCACTCAAAACGAATAGAGCATTTAGATAGATGATAGATAGATAGATAGATAGATAGATAGATAGATAGATAGATAGATAGACAGACAGACAGATAGTTGTTGTTGTTGTTGTTGTTGTTATTATTATTATTATTATTATTATACACTGCTTTCTTTCTCTCGAAGGGGACTCAAAGCAGCTATGTATTTATTATTAGTATTGGAATGCATTATTATTATTATTATTATTATTATTATTATTATTGTGCCAAATTTGGTCCAGTGAATGAAAATACATCCTACATATCAGATATTTATATTACGATCCATAACAGTAGCAAAATTACAGTTGTGAAGTAGTAATGAAAATAATTGTATGGCTGGGGGTCACCACAACATGAGGAACTGTATTAAGGGATCACAGCATTAGGAAGATTGAGAAATAATGGTATAGGGCTTTGTAGGTAATAACCTGCACTTTGAATTGGGACCAGAAACTTGTCGGCAGCCAACTTTTGCACTAATTGCAGTTTCCAAGCCGTCATCAAAGGCAGGCCCACATAAATCTGTTTTAACAAAATGCATCAAAGTGAACTTCTCTCCAAATTCTGAACTCGTAAGCAGAATGTGAGGAGGGAGCAACGATGTGGCAGATCTGCAGCAGAGATGGATACTGCAACTTTTCTTCAGACTGGAAATAAGGGAATCATTTCAGGCTTTTTCTCCTCTGTATTAATTATATTACTGCACAAGTTGACGCTAGTGATTTTTCTCAGGAGATTGTGTTCTGTGCAGAGAGGCCTCTCTGAGAAACACAGAGTCCTGGACAAAGCGTTGCAAAATTGTTCCATTACGAGCCTTCATCAAACCCTAATAATAAGCGAAATTCTTGGAGTTCGGTGCTCCAAATTGGCCTGTGCCCAAACTGAGAACATCATAATTACGGCCGAAGAATGGCGCAGTCTGTCTCAGAACAGGATTCACACACTGTGTGTCCTTTTGTTGTCTTCCAAATGTTGTTGACCCGTCATGGATGACTGATTTAATTTCTCTCCCCCTCCCTTTTCCTCTACAGCACAACAAAAGCGCAACGTATTCCGTGGGCATGCAGAAAACATACTCTCTGATCTGCTTGGCCATGGACGAAGATAAGAATGACAAGGCCAAGAAAGCCACCCCAAAGCTGTCGTTTTTGAGCTGGGGGATGAAGAATAATCGGCAGAAAGCCGCCAGCACACTCTGCCTTCCTTCCGTTGTGACGGGAAGCTCTCCAGCGAAGAAGAAGCTCACCTCTCCCTTTACGCTTCTGAGTACAGACAGCTCGTTGTACTAGAACTGGAAAGGGAGGCTTCCTTTCATCTGGAAACGATGGCTGAATGTGTGCCATGAACACGTCATTGAAGTCTTGTCAATCTGGAATGGCTGTGGTTCCATAGGCCAGTTCCAATCTGGCCTGTGCCTTTTCTCCTTAAGTCTTATGCTGTGTCTCCTGAATAAGCAAGGCATTCTATTCGGGACTGATCTCATTTGCTACCAAACACCTTGGAAGCATCTGTTTGCGTTTCCTCGTGGCTCCTATCTGACCTGCTGCAAAGATGATGAAGGATTGTGTGTCATTGTGCCATGCTCAAGTCATAATTTTAAAGTGGACTGAGCATCCCCTGGATCCTTGCAGAAATGGGGGAATCAGAGACTGTGATGACACAGCTTTTGGGGATAATTCACTTCTTGGTTACATTGGAAATGGTTACACTGAAGGACACAAAGTTAGCCGAGATCAGTCAGTACTAGAGGTGGGAAGGTCTAGGGCAGGCATGGGCAAACTAAGGCCCGCGGGCCAGATGCGGCCCCCTAGGCACTTATCTCAGGCCCTCCTCATTTTCCCTGTCCTCTTGGCATAAGGACACAGTGTCCCACCGCATCCTTACGCAGAAAGGATGGAGGAGGAAGGCACGTAACAACGGAGAGGCCTCTGGTGTGCTCTCAGCCATAGCATGTCTCGCCCTCCTCCTGGCATAAGGATGGTATGAGCAGCCCTGTCTTTATGCTAAGAGGATAGCCCAAGGAAGACACATAGCAGTTGAGAGTCTTCCAAAGAGCTCTCGGACGTCACCTGTCTTGCCCTCCTCCGGACATAATACTTAGAGGTCAGCCCGAAGATCGGGGGGGGGGGGGGAATAGGGAAGGATGATTGTGGCCTCTCATTTTTTTTCCCTGGCCTAAGGATGGAGCAAGCAGCCTCATTCTTATGCCAAGAGGACAACCCTAGGATAACTCTGGCCCCACCCTCTCAGGCTCTCTCCTTCTTGGGCCCGTCCCACCCAGTGCGTGCCTGGCCATCCTACCTCCCTCCCGGCCTGGCCCTCTCAGTCGGGCCCACAATGCACCCCAAGGCAAAAAAAGTTTGTGCGTGCCTGGCCTAGGGACAAAAAAATGGAAAAATGGGGGGAGGGGAGTTTTTTCCCCTATAGACTGTTGGAAATTGTGGGAGTTGAAGTCCAAACACCTGGTGGGCTGAATTTTGCCCATGCCTGTGATAAACAATGTTATTAGTCCAGATATTTCAGGATTAAGCTTTGCCTTGTTTACGTTCTTCCATCTGCATCTGTGAAGCGAAATCAATTTAAGCAGCTCCCCAGGTTGGAGGAGAAAGGATAGAGAAATGATACAATAACCAGATTTAAGTACAGTAGAGTCTCGCTTATCCGACCTTCGCTTATCCGACATTCCGTCTTATCCGACGCCCTATTCCTCCAGCATTTCCCTTCCAATTCAAGGAGCGCTCGCCAACTCTCTCTCCATTCCCAGTAAGTGAAAAAGGCACGACAAGGAGGAGGACGAGGAGGAGGGAGGAAAGGGGGAAAAGAGGCAGGACCGGAAGCGGAAGTGTCCTCCTTCCTTCCCTCTGAGATTTCCATGCTCCTCTTCTGCATCCGGGCACTTCCTGCTGGGCCACTCTAGCTCTGAGGCATTGCCTTGCCTTAACCCTGTTAATATTCTAGGTGTCTAGTGCCGCGTTGTACGGGTAACAGTAGGAGACTCCGTATTATCCGACATTTTCGTTTATCCTACGTTCTGCTGGCCCGTTTAAACGAGACTCTACTGTACCCGAAAATGAAGCCAACTTGTTTCTGCTGCTTCAGAAACCAAACCACTAAGAATTCCCTGAGAGTGGCATCACCTGCCTTGTAAAGGAATGGACTCCCCTTCCTTGAAGAGAAGTGAGATGGTCATCTTCAGCTGTGCAAGGCAGCGGGTTGGATTGGACGGCCCTTGCTGTCTTTTTTTCCCCTATGATGATTTCGTGAAACCGAGACTGCATTTCAAAGCTGAAAATGCCATGCGTTGTCACAGTCAGAATAAGGGAGAAGATGGAAACAGAACAAGTCCTGGGTTGTTGTAGGTTTTTCGTGCTATATGCCCATGTTCTAGAAGCATTCTCTCCTGACGTTTCACCTGCAGCTATGGCAAGGTTGACCTCACAACCTCTGAGGATGCTTGCCATAGATGGAGGAGAAAGGTCAGGAGAGAATGCTTCTAGAACGTGGCCATATAGCCCGAAAAACCTACAACAACCCAGTGATTCCAGCCATGAAAGCCTTCGACAATAGACAGAACAGGTCCTTTTAGCTCAGATCAAACTCCCAATGCCTGCCAAGTATCGTTGTAAATATACCTATAATTTAGTAGCAGTTTAAAGGACTGCTGTCATCTGAGGTTTTGTGTAGCATTGCCGTACCCAGCGCCTTGTTCCAAGTAGCCTACAATGGAACTAACTATGCCTTAAGAGACGTTTAGAAGCAATCACCCATTTAGGAACCCGTCCAACTGGTAATGTATTTTTCTGGACATCTGTTGCTGCTGTTCTCCCTCCCTCTCCCTCCCTCCCTCTCTCTCTCTCTCTCTCTCTCTCTCTCTCTAAAGCTGATGCTTGCTAACACAGTAGTGTTAGTGTAAAAGTATTGTCTACAGGGTAGATCTCACAATGTCTTAATTGTCACAATGTTTTGAATAGGTGAAACCCCTGCTCTGATTTGAACTCACAGCAATGGGAAGGGGACCGATCTCCCCGATAGGAAATTTTAGATGATGCTTTCAGGGGAAAGGTTTGGGGTTTTTATTTGTCCAAAAGCCTGGTGTATCAAACTTTGTATGAACTCACCTATCTTTTTTAAGGGTTTTGTGTTTATTCATATTAGGTGTAAATACATACATGTTAAAAGTCTTATTTAAGAATGGGTCCTACAGATCCCTTTTGGATCCCTTTGATTGCGTTGCAAGCAGGATGAAGCAGGGCAGCCTCTCTCGCCTGTTGATGCTTGTTAAGAATGGAGATGCAGACCAGTTTGTTTCTTCTCTATCCTTCTGTGAAAGGAAAAGAAATCATAAATAGCGGCTGCTCTTGATCTCTTGTTGTTGTTGTTGTTGTTGTTGTTGTGAAATATCTGAATTGATGCTCAGAACTGATCTTAGCACATAATAAAACAAATGTAGCAAGTCACAAAGATTCTTGTGGATTATTATTTTAATTAATGCACCACCATCGGAGCTACGGTTGCACTCCAAGGCGGAGACCCACCTCTGGACTTAACTCACACTCCAGTCCAGGGTAAAATAAAGCCCTAAACGGTTCCAGTCCAGCTTACCTATCTGAACATATCTCTCCTTATGAACCATCTAGGACTTTAAGATCGTCTGGGGAGGCCCTGCTCTCGATCCCGCCTTCCTCACAGATTCGTTTGGCAGGGACGAGAGACAGGGCCTTCTCAGTGATGGCCCCTTGGCTATGGAACTCTCTTCACAGGGATATAAGATTGCCTCCCTCCCTTCTAACATTCTGCAAAATGGTTAAGACCTGGCTCTTCGAGCAAGCTTTTACTACTGGAGCATAATTAGACGGAAACAAATATATGGAACGACTGACGATGCAATTGGACAATCATTTTAGTAAGGAGACGCTGAGGATTTTGTTTTTATAGTCATTATTGTTTCTTTTATATTAAATTTTAAATGTTGAATTGTTTTAACTGTATTTTGATCATTGTTATGGCATTGAATCACTGCCGACTGTGAACCACCTTGGGTTGCCTCTGGCTGAGAAAGGCGCTGTACAAATGCAGTAAGTAAATAAATAAATAAAATAGCAAAGTAGTTTATTGAATATACAGTAAAGTCTCACTTATCCGAACATCACTTATCCAACATTCTGTCTTATCTGACACTTATCCGATGCCTCCCCCCTCTTTTCCTCCAACATTTCCCCTTCAATTAAAGGAGCACTCCCCAACTCTCTCTCCATTCCCAATAAGTGAAAAAGGAAATACAAGGGGGAAAAGAGACAGGACCAGAAGTGGAAGCGTCCTCCCTACTCCTCTCTGTGATTTACACAGTTCTCTTCCGCATCCGGGCATTTCTTGCTGGGTCGTTCTAGCACCGAGGCATTGCCTTGCTTTAACCCTTTGAGTATGGAGCCCCCAGTGGCGCAGTGGGTTAAACCCCTGTGCTGGCAGGACTGAAGACCAACAGGTCGCAGGTTCGAATCCGGGGAGAGGCAGGTGAGCTCCCTCTATCAGCTCCAGCTCCTCATGCGGGGACATGAGAGAAGCCTCCCACAAGGATGATAAAACATCAAATCATCCGAGCGTCCCCTGGGCAACGTCCTTGCAGACGGCCAATTCTCTCACACCAGAAGCGACTTGCAGTTTCTCAAGTCGCTCCTGACATGACAAAAAAAAAACCTTTTGAGTCCCTGTTGTCAATATTCTAGTTGTCGAGCACCGTCTCTGACGGGTAACAGTAGGAGACTCTGTATCATCCGACATTTTCATTTATCCGAATTTCTGCCAGCCCGTTTATGTCGGATAAGCGAGACTCTACTGTATATGAAAAGCAATTCAGCAAAAAAAAATTAAAAAACCAAAGTCCAAATATCAGCAATAAATCACAGAAATTATAGTACAGGAGTAGCATCAAAAACTGTTGCGCTAAGCTTTTTCAGTCAAGTCCAAAACAGAAAACACAATAACATTGCACCCAGGCAAAAGGAAAAAGAACAGAAAAACTTTACTCTTTTCAGCAGAGTTGAAACATAAACTTGCAATGTTACAAACAGTGCAACAAACTTACATAGTCTTTGTAAGCAATACAGAAAATAAGGCTTCTTCATCTTCATCCAAATGAGAGAGCAGTAGAAATGGTTGAGCAAAATGCCTGAGCAAAGGCTCCTCAGAGCAAAAGCTGAACTGTATTCTAAAACCCACACAGTTATACTACACCGAGTGTGGTCCAAACTTACTAGTTGACCTACATTAGCAGCTGCACACAATAATTAACAGCATAAGGTTTTCTTTAACACACACACACACATACTTGATCCTGTTACGACTTACTGTAACAAAAACCAGGTTTACAAAAGCAGAATAAATCCAAAACATAAGATTCAGGAACAGTCCTCAAACCTTGGGATCATGAGACATGAACAAAAGGAAACATGGAACATGAAACTAGAAATCCCTTGATTTGACAGTAGTTCTGTACTCGACCACCAACGTTGCCTGGACTGATGGACTCATCTCCCAGGCTAGCAAATATAGAGAGAAAATCATGCCTTTTCCTCTGGGAAACTGATAAGGATGTCTTGGCTAATAGGCGTCTTGACCTGAAAAGCTTTATATTGACGAAACATAAATATCCTATCTAACTGCTCATTAGTCTGTCTACTTGGACTTTCAATTTCATCCGTTGAACTCTGATATGTTACTGACCTTGCTTCCCTAACAAACTGCCTTTCAGGAATGTGGCCTTCAGACACAGACCACTCATTTTCAGGGCTTAACATCTCTTGCTGGCTCTTCTGCTGATTTGCAGACCCAGAATCCCCACGGTTATCAGAATGACTAACCGGCCCAAAATCCCCAGAGAGATCAGGTGCTGGAACAAAAGGCTGAACTACAACAGCTATATTGTTAACATTGTCCTAACATTTTGCATTTTAAAATTTGTATTCCACTTGTTGCCTGGCATATTCCTCTAAAGTAGAGCTTTCAGAACATTTCATGTGGGTGACACACCATTTTAATATATGCATCATTTCGCGACACAGTACTTCAGTTTTAGTAGCAAACCAGAGTTTAAACCAACTCCTTATAAGAAAGATGACATACATAAATGGGAATAATTAAATCGATGAGGAAACACCACATCTCATGAAAACCTTTAATTTATATACTTTTCTTGACAGTGCCACTTAGTTTTCAAATCTACTTCTCTGAAGACTTTTCAACACCAAAATCCTGTTGGTTAATCCCAATTAGGCTTATTTAATCAGTTATTGAATGGCGAGTCAATACTGGGGTAAACCAAATGGATTCAATAGATCTATTCAAGACAGGACTAACAGGATTTTCCAGATGCGAAATATTACCATTTACACTTCTGTATCTTTCCTTTTTAAAAAAAACGCTTTGGTTTTTAGGTCCATTTGAATGTACAAGTTGCAATCAGAGCGGTGTGGCTATTTCACAAAGGCCGGTAAAGAAGGCAAGATTAGATTAAGAGATAAGTCATTAACTTCATTAGCAGTGAACAGCCCTTGTTCTTAATTACTCATATTTGTGGTTTACTTAATCGATTGGAACAGGCCAGCCATTTACAATAATTAATTCGACAGAGGTCTTGAAATGGTAAATGAAACATTTCAATAGATAGACATAAGGGACAGCAAAGTCAAATAAGAATAACGTGTTAGAAAATATAGTTCAGAGGGAACCCGGAAGTTTTGCATGGAGTTTAAACAATCAACAACAAAGTGGAATAATTGCTTATTTTGCAGTTGCAAGAAACCTCGTTGCAAGTTGCAATCTATTGAGTACAATCTTGGCTCTGGGAACACTTATGTAATAAAGAGATCTGGAACAAACAAAATTAGCCTCCTGTTGTACTTGGCATCGCCCATAGAAATGCAGGCCCTTCACTTTCCAGTTGACCTTGAGCAATCTTGGAGAAGTCCTTGTGCTTAAACTCTATCT